TCATTTCTAAATCCAAGATGGCGGGCACGATTTTTTCAAAAAAATGCTATGTGGGTATCGTTTTCGAGGTATTTGGGGATGCTCAATGTGAATATGGCACTATTTGTAAATCCAAGATGGCGGGCACGATTTTTCAAATAATGGCAAGTTGGGTATCGTTTTCGAGGTATTTGGGGGTGCTCATTACGAATATTGCTCTTGTTTGAACTGTCGTGTTTGCCATCTTGGATTTAGAAATGAGTGCCATATTTGTATTGAACATTCCCAAACATCTCGAAAACGATACCCAACTTGCCATTATTCGAAAAATCGCGCCCGCATCTTGGATTTAGAAATAAGTGCCATATTCGAAACCTAAAACCGAAAATGCCATAAGCAAACATTAAAGAAAATAACTGTTAAAATAGATTAAAAAATCGCTTAAGAATGCTCCCCTTTTAAGAAAATAAAATATTTTAATATAAAATATTTCGCTTGAGTTACGAAAAGAAAGACATATAATAAGCTATCAAAGTTGTACTGGTGGTGCCAACACTATAGTAGAAACAAATATATAAGTACTGTAAATTTGTTGCAATATGTGCTCCAATTCAAATAAAATTAAAATAAATAATTATTCAATAAAGCATGAACGCAGAGCCGTTAAAAGTATTATAAAATAATTAAGTGTCCCAATCACTTACAGGAGTTAACGAAAACATTTAATGTTTATTAAAGTAAATATTAGTTCAAGATGCGCAAATAAATCTAAATTACAGGCACCACTAAAATTTACGTAATATAATTATTTTGATACAGAATAGCAAAATGGGGAGAAAAAAAATTCGTTACTTTGCAACACTTTCGTATCTTGTTGCCGCGAAATTATTTTTCTGTTTTAGTGAATATTTACATAAAAATATGAGTTGAAACGCAGTTAGTGTCTATTTTATGTTTGTCTGTTGTATTTTTACACCCATTTACCGCACATTTCGTCATTTTTAGCAAAAAATTTTGGAGCTGTTCGCGGTGCAATATGACCTTGAGCACTAACAGCCCGCGCGCTCCTGAGACGCGTTTGGAACCCTCTAACTTGCCTCACTTAGCGTGTGCGGGCTAGGTTTCTATGCGTTATTATTCTAAGCTATTAGAATAAAAAATGCAGAAAGACGTTACGGTATTTCTAAAAAAAAAATTAATATAAAAAATGGCATAGGAGTATACGTTATTGAGGCTATCAGCGTAATGGTGGTGTGACCCACTTTTAATTCTTTTACCACAATATTTATTTATTATTTATTTTATTTCTGAGGGTACAAACAGCTTGTGTCACAATGTAATAAAAACTATATTAAGTAATTATAAGCAAAAACAGTAACCCTACTGCTGTTTACAACAACATGTTTTAATGCCTAATTATGTACAGTTACATACACTGCTTTATCTACACACATATTATAAGCTCTCTGTGATGTGTTCAGGAACTGCATGTTACGGCTGGCGAAATGGCGGCAAATAAAAACTTTTTTCACGCATGTCACACAACCGTAGTTTTTATTTTTAATTCATAGACATACTAGAATCGGTACCAACCATCATATCGTTCGATATCAAGTAACGTGTGAAATTGGCAAAATTGTTTGCTATTGACATTTCATTTTGAATAAAACTTCATTTCGACTGATATTAGAATATTTATTATTATTTTATTATTGAGGCCCAATCAAATTGTTTTGTTTTTCAGAGATGTTCGAAATTTGAATGTAATAATAACATCGAATTCGATGTTAATAAGAAGCAATAATAACATTTTCACAGATAAGAAATTGTTCTAACAAAACAGTTTACCTTTATGCTGGTCGTAATTTGCGGTTTTTGAACACATTTACAGAGTTTTTGATATGTGTGTAGATAAAATGAATTAAATAATACTTTTTTAACGTATTTGATTTCTTAATCAAATCAAAATCGGAAAGAGCAGAAACTTTGTTAAAATTATTGCTCGCACGCCGTAAAATAAGTGGAGAGGGAACTATGCTGACATTGTTAGATTTCTCGCGCGCTTTTGAAACGATTAATATTGCGTTACTCATTTCCAAACTTGCATATTATGGTTGTGACAGTGTTGCGTTGAGATGGTTTGTAAGTTACCTTAGTGATCGATCACAACGGGTCGAATTGTGCGATGTCAATGGAAAGAAAAGTCAATCTGCAGCTTCTTATGTACCTCAAGGGGTTCCACAAGGCTCCATATTAGGACCCATTCTATTCATTTTGTATAGTGCTGACATTTCCAAATGCATAATAAATTGTAAATATCATCTTTACGCTGACGATCTTCAGGTGTATATTACATTCAGGCCAAGTGAAGCTTCTGTAGCGACACACAAGCTTAATGAGGACCTAGACAGAATAGCAAGGTGGTCGAACCGTAATTGCTTGGTTTTAAACCCAGTGAAATCGAAATTCCTTGTGCTGGGTTCGAAAGCTCAAATACGTAAAATTAAAAATCATAATCCAGTTGTGGCAATTGGGGGCGATTGCATAGCGCAAGTGTGTGAGGCGCGAAACTTGGGTATTTTGATGGACGGTGAATTAAAATTCGAAAACCATGTGGTTGACACGGCTAGAAATTGTTTTTATAGGTTAAAAGTCTTGTACCAAATACGTTCGTTCTTGAGTACAGATTTACGGATTCACCTCTGTGAATCGTTAATATTGGCTAAGTTCAACTATGCGGACACTGTAATAGGACAATGCTTGTTGGCGAGAACAAAAAAAATAGTCCAGCGTGTTCAAAACGCTTGCGCGCGGTTCTGTTTAACGATTCCACCACGAACGCATGTATCACCTTACCTTAAGACAAGAAATCTGTTGAATATGGACTACCGACGCTCTCTCCACTTTGCAACTTTGCTTTTTGGTATAATAAAAAATAAAAATCCACAGTATCTGTATGAAAAGCTTACTTTTTCGCAACGTCACATTAGATTATCTTCTCGTTTGGTTTGCCCTAGACACAGCACGGCAGCATTTCGTGGTAGTTTTCGGTATTCTGCCACGAAATGCTGGAACAATATACCTCCGCCGATTAGAAACTGTGCCACAATTGGCGCATTCAAACGTAATTTTAAATTGTATTTAATAGACAAGCAAAAAAGAAATTTGTGACAAATAAAGGAAAGCACACACAATCAGTGAACGAAAATGAAGCTAGTAGAAATGGTAATTATCGTAGGTTGGTAATTTTGTAATAGTAGAACTTTAATAATCTAATAGATATTAAATATTTATTTATATTTATTTATTTTGATTCGCATATTTATATATTTTGTGTTAGTTGTTTGATTTGATATTTTATTTTGTTGTTGTATGTCGGTGGCGTCCGCTCATCTATTTGGTCACCACAGAATATCAGCGTCGGGTTGTTCTGCATGCACAACCCGGCAAATGCTGAGTGGCGACCATTTTGGATCTCAATGTTTAGTTATAATTTAAGATTTACATTGTACATATTTGTTAAATGAGACCAAATAAATATTGTTTCTTTCTTTCTTTCTTTCTATAAATAAATGCCGTTTGTAATTTTGTGAATTTTACTTTTAATGATGCTATTGCCATGTATATTTTTATTATTAACAGACTTCAAAAAAGGTGGAGGTTCTCAATTGGACTGCATGTTTTTTTTGTATGTATGTTACGCAATAACTCCGTAAATTGTGAACCGATTTTGATAATTCTTTTATGTTGAAAAGAGGGTACCTCAGTAATGGTCCCATTTAAATTTGAAGAAATATTTCACTTTTAAGGGTGGCAAACTAGGGGATGTGTGAGTTTTGAGGTCGGTTTTTTTTGGTACCTACTCTGTACTGAGATTACATATATGAAAATACGATAACCATACAAATATAAAATAATTATGTACTATACTTTAGTACAATTTGAAGTAATATTGCAGAAAGAAAATTGAATGTGGGTTACACCATTATTGTCATGATAGCCTCAACTTACTATGAACTGAGACCGTTGCCATCTCTGGTAAAACTGCCCTTTCATGTAGAGCTATATATAACAAAGAATACTGTATTAAATACTGTATTGTTATTGCACTAAAACTTATTTGTTCCAACGTTGAAAGCTCCTCAATTTTATATGACAACGGTAGGTCAGGTGAATCTAAAACACTTGAACAAAAAGTATGTAGGTATATTTTATTGAACAGTAGGAATATTCAATGCTTACCTATAACTAAGAAGACGTAGTACTCGTACACTAGGGCGTACACTGTAAGTGCGCACACGCGGGCCGACACCGTGCCCAGGCGCCATAGGAACTGCCGAAAGACAGTGAGATTCAATCACATACATTTTATTTTATTTTTATTTATTTATCAGATAAACACAAACAGTTACATACTAAATAAATAACAAACATTGAAAAAGCAAGATTAAATAAAAATGAACCAACAACGGGTTCCACAAATGTGTGGCAATAAAGGCATATTATGACTCGCATGACACATGCGCGTAGTCTTATGGAATTATATTTAAAAATTTCGTTTATACATATAGGGCGAAATTAAGTAAAATAAATAATAAATAAAAATTACATGTTATATACTTACATTATATTCATATATACATACACACATACATAACAATATATATCAAATCAGTTACAATAATAATTATAAATACCATAGAAATCAGAAGGAGCCACTATTCATTTTCATCACACTTGCTCGTAAACAGTGTCATGACATGCAGGCAAATTCGGACGCAATGTCCCAAATTACACACACGGGCTTTTTCATTATATTACTACTGCCCTAAGGTGGTGATTGCTTTTTAATTTTTTTATTTAATTTTTTATTTTATTTTATTAGACTACATCACATACGTTGCTCTGAAAAGTAAGTAGCTAAAGCACTTTTGTTATGGAAATCAGAAAAACGACGGTACCACAAACACCCTGTTTTGTTTGACCCAGAGACAATATAGAAAAGTTAGTTTCTACACTGAGCTGGCCGGGGTTCGAACCCGGGACCTCAGAGATGGCGACACCATGAAAACTGGTGTGCAAGTCACTCGACCACAGAGGCCGTCATTACTTCTCTTACACGTCAAGATTAAACAAAAAGATTTTATGTTCGAAAAATTTGAATGTATTTCGCATAAGCTTGAAGTATAAAAAAAGCAAATATTTGCAATTTAACCATATTTTACTAAATTAATATAGTAAATTCAATTTCTGCAGTATTTTGAAGTAATTTATTTTATATCTACATAACGGCTCTATGCGTTTTTACTTTACAACATTTTATTATTATATACTTATTATTGTTCTCCACAAAACGGAGTCTCTTTGAACTAGCTCCGACTTTTCTTGATATATCCATACCGATAGCCGACCGTCTGCCCATGCTCGGAATGGACCTGTCGTCCAACTTAAACTTCGGCAGATACATTGTATCCACGGCAAGAATGCAGCCAGGAAGCTTGTCATCTTTGCCACGTGAGGAGTTACTTCACACCGGGACATCCCTGTTCCCTTCTACATAAGGTTTGATTATACTGACCCTCCCCACCGACCCTTAGGTTATACGAGAAGGGCACTATAACCACAGCGCGCACAGGAACCTTTTAAGTTCAGGTTCAGACCCCAGATCAGTTGTTAGAGACCGTTGTCACTGATTTCATCCGGTTCTCAAGAGGCTAGTGCTTCGGGTGACCTTGACACAAATTAATTTAGAATTAAAAGCGGTATGCTGACCTGGAAGATGACGCCGAGCCACGTGAGAAGCAGTCGGTGCACGTTGCGCGCGCGCACGTTCTTGCTGAAGCTGGCCAGCGCCCAGCACACCGAAAACAGCGACAGGCACGCCGAGATCACGTTCAGCTCCGCGAACGCCTTGTTCGCTGCGTAGGCGACGTATCATAAGCGACTTTGTCCAGTTAGGTTCCACGTTAGATTGTACAAAAGTAAACATTTATGATGCTTTACCAAAGTTGGCCGGCATTTGAATTACTTGTAATTGTATGTCAACTACTAAAATGTGTTTTGTAATTGTTATTTCAAGTAGTTTCTTGGTGTCCGGTTATTGGTAATGATTGTATTTTATATATTGTCTAAAAAGAACCTTTGTCAAATTTTGACACGAGTCGAGCGTCAGGGACACAGGTTTTATTTGAGAATTTATTTTTATAAACGAAATTAATGCCATTTGAAAAATTTAATTATCGTATACTATTAAGTGTTCTATTTAGTTCAGTTGATATAAAAAAAAATATTGGTATATGTAAAGCGCCTATTGAATACAGCGGTTTTCTTGTAAAATTCCGAGGTAAGTTTGTTTTTTTTTCTATCGAGAAAATTTTATAGGTATCGTGTTTTCACACTGTATAGTAATCAGTGTGTATCCTCAATTTTACTAAATATTTTTTATAAAGTGGTTGATTTGACTTTCACTGTTATGCGGAATCAACCAAGCCGATTTGAGGTTGCATCGACTCTTAATAAATAGACAGTTTTCTTCATAGACCTACTGAGAATTGTCTCTCACACTATTTCTGTGAATGCCTTAGTTTTCAGTCTAGTGTTGTACCTATCAATGTTGTTGAAATAAAATTCGCTAGATTTCTGTACGGTGTAAGCCGTCAGTGGGTAACCTATCACAAACTCCAATTTGTTTTCCGAAATAACGTTTCTTCGAATTTTCATTACACCGAAAACCGAATTATAGGTTCAACTTAGGTTCCGTTAGGTTAAGTTAGGTTTAAAAGAAAAAATATTTTCCTCTCAAAATTTCGAGGTCACGAAAATTCGAGCAAACGGTATTTCTGGAAAATGTCATTTCGGAGTACTGATAGGTAACCCCGTCAGTGGAATTACCCGCGGGCTCATCGACGCTGGGGTCTACGTTGAGGTCGGGCGGTGGTGGCGCGTCGCGGAGAAGTATGTGCAGTTGCAGCAGCAGCATTGGCGCTGCTTCGCAGAACGCATGCACTAGTCGCAGCATGCCTGAAACAAATTCTTATGGAATTCTGGAACAAGGGTAACGCTGAAGCTGATCTTGTTTGCTTCAGTCTGTATGACCTTGATTTTTTTATATATTTATTTATTAAATATCATGATGTTTTGGTACCATGCTTTTTATATATTTTTTATGAAAATACTCTTTTAGTTATTTATATGCACACACGTAGAGGTCCTGGGTTCGATTACCGGTCAAATTCAGTCATTCTGATACAAATAGAGTCATTTTATTCTATAGGTAAAATAAATTACACTTGAAGAAGTAATTTTTTAAGCTACTGCACCTTCACTGTGCTGACTTCCGTGAGAAGAACGAGCTAGAAACTCTTTTACTTGAAAAGAGTTTCTAGCTCGTTACACTTAAATGCCATGGAATAAATTTTGTACCAAATTTGTGTGGAATCTAGAATCATGTCGTCTTTTCATACATCTTTACCTAACACGTAGAGTTCAATTTTGTAATATGACTTTTCAATTAAAATATTAATGCAAGTTTTAAATTTCATAGCCCCGCACTAGGGAATCCCTGCGTCGCGGGTGCCATGAACACACACATAGACAAACACAAATTACACCCAAAGTCACGAGACAAATAAATGTAGTCCATACAAATATTTCTCCGTGCCCGAGAAGCGAACACCCGACACCTCTGTGTTGCAGTCCGGCATGGTAAACGTTAACTAAAGTAAACTATTTTAAGTTTTATGTATATATATTTTTGTAATATTCTTAGTGTTTAAAATAAATAAATAAAAAAATAAAAAATATTCTAGCAGTATCAACATCGGTAAGTTCACGTGTTTGCGAACTGTCCGTGCAGCGGAGCTGTCTGCTGACCAGGGAAGGTATATGCGGAAACCATTGAACTTTACTCTCTAAGGTCACTCCCAAGAAGACTGCTTTATTAACAATGTTTAACTTTTCTCCATTTATTTTTATATTTGGACTAGTCGATTATGCATTTGACAATTTAAATTTAACACACTTTGTCTTCTTGGAATTAAGCAGCAAATTGTTAGCATTGAACCAATGAACTAACTTTGATTAATTTCATTCATTTTTTATTCTTCATTTATTTCTCTCGTGAGTTTGGGTGTAATTTGTGGTTGTCTATGTGGATATCCATGGCACACGCGATACAAGGTTTCCCTCTCTAGTGCGGAGATATGAGTGTGTGCGTTATTTATTTTTTTATTTGTTTGATACAAAGATCGAACACAAACAAAAATTCCTTCAATCTGACTAAACTCGAACCATGCCGAGGCGCCACTCTTAACCAAGTAAGCAACAGACCGAGTCAGCAAATCTGACGACTTCCTTTTATGTGTTCGTTATAGATCTTTGTATTAGATTTAAACGTCGTTTTACACAAGAAAACTTTTTATATTGTGTATTTTTTTATGTTTCGTACAGTCAAAAAACACTTCAAGCTTGACACTTTGGCTCGCTCTTATTGCAAGGGAGATTGAGTTGGATTTTAATCCTAAGTGTCGAGCTAGAAATGACTTTGACACAAGGTCAACGTCTAACAATGAATGGTAGCTTCATGGAACCCTTAACTTTGGGATTACCCTTATCATTTTTCTAATTAAATATATTTATTAGATTAAGTGAAACGTAAATTATTTAGTCTTGTATTTGACTAAATTGTAACGTATTTATAATGTACTTTGCTAGTGCCTTATAAATAAATGAACAAAAAAATTCTAACTCGTTAGCTTACAGTACGCGAACCTCGTGTAATTAAAAAGTAAAAAAATATATATGATGATGACACACTTACATAGATCTCGCACTTGGTGCTTCACCCTTCGCAGCTCGACCGGCACGAGTAGCCTGGCGTACCGCCACAGCACGCCGAGCTGCAGCGCGTGCAGCAGCAGCGGCCCCCAAGGCAGCCGCGCTTTGCGTTCCTCCGCCGCGCCGGGGCCCGACCCACCCCACCACACGTGCAAGTACCAGCGAAGCGATATCACCTGTCCAAACATGTTTTCTTTAGTCGAGAATTTTGAAGTAAATATCCTAAGAAAACCAAAGCGCCTAAATTTAGAGCCTTACCTATTTCAGCTGCCAAGTAATGTGAGCATTACTGCGTTCCGGTTTAGAAGGGTGGGGGTGGTGCTGGTGAAATTAAAGGCACATGGGATATGTCAACTTGTCTCAGGGTGACGGTCACAGTGCGATTTAAAGCTCTGAGTGACACTGCAACTGTTATAGACAGGCGTTTCGCTTTCCACCAGGCGCACCATTAGTTTGTCATATCACTTGGTATTATAAAAAAAACCCGTGCTCAGCTTTCGCTAGACTATGGGTCGTATTCTAGAACTCTACTCAATGCTCAAGTCAGGATTGCACTGGAAACACAAGCACTGGAAATACGACTCTAATGGCAGGGACTTGAGTATGATTTCGAGTGCTTTAAACCATACTCAAATCCTGACTTGAGCATTGAGTAGAGTTCTAGAATACGACCCATAGACTCAGTGAAACTAATTTTTTTTACTCAACTAACAATGGTGATGGTTTGATTTCGGAGAGCGATAAATAGCATGCTTACTTAGGATTACGTTAAAAAAACACTACAGAATTTTAAAATTTGAGATGAGATTTATAAGATGTGATCTAGGGTATCGATTTTCAACATTTTCAAAATATGCCTATTATTTAATTAAGTGACATGGATTTTTTATTTTATTTTTACCTGAACTGATATAATTTAGTCTATTGCCCGGTGCCCGCTTGACGTTGAGTTTTGGGACACCCTGTATATCTGAATTCAACATAAGTATACATTAAGTAAAAAAACTTATAAAACGTTTCTTAGTACCTGTGATATGAGTAATGACGTGATGACAATGGAAATAGCAGCGGCGAAACTGCCTTTGTAACCCCGCTCGAGCAGCGCGTACCCCATCACTACGTCGAACACCACGTCGCAGAAGTAACCCGCCAGTGAGATCACGTTGAACAGCACGTCACACAGCGGTAGGAATTCCGCCATCGCCAAACATCGCAATTATACTGATTGATAATCCGTCTTTTCCTTTACTGTAAACAAGATGTTGAGATTTTTAATGAGGAATTATTATATCACAAGAATGAATGGTTTGGTTAAATTAATTACCGCTGCGTTGATAGGAATGTTGTTACGTTTCGTATCGCGTTAATTTTTGATTTGTTTTAATTTTACAAAATATTTTGTGTCATTTATTAAAATAAGTAATATTATATCAAAATTTCTATAGAAATAAATATGATTAACGTAAGAAATACTTATTTAATGAATTTTTGCAGAAATAAACATTTACGATATTACGACAATTGAGGTTTGCATGCAACGGAACGTAGTGTTGACATACCACAAGTCGTGTGATGCGTGTTTTTTCTATTTACTATTAATTCCGTGAAAAAAGTAAAGAAACATTTTAAACGCAATGTCTAATTACACAGATATTGTGAGCAAAATAGGAAAGGATAGTTCGCGGGCCGCTTGCAAGAAATGTGGTTACGCCGGACACCTAACTTTTCAATGTAGAAATTTCATAAAAGTAAATTTTTTAACTTATTTGTGTGTTAAAACGTAGTTAACAAATAATTATACTTGTAGTAGTAACACGTTCAGGTTTATTTTAAGTAGCAGTGGAGCTCCTTGTGAAAGAGTTCGTCTACGGAAATACTGCCACCTTACTTATTTCTGGGCCACGCAGTGGTGTTAGCACATCGAGTATGTAACCAGAAATAGAGACTAAATAAGGGCCATATATTCCAGGTAACACATTAGCGATACAGCTCCTACAAATATCAACTCCCGTTTGCACTGAAATATAGACGGGCCAACTACTGACCTATGTGTATGTCTCCGTATATTCCAAAAAATATTCTGTATTTATTGTAATAAAGAATTTCTAACAATGCCGAGCTGTTCTATTCTGTGGTGTGGTAAAAACCGCTAAACATCTAATTACAATCACATTTCATCTGTAATTAAATATGTAATTTTGCAATTCTCGTCCATTATAGCAAAGCTCAAGTTAACTGGTTGATTTGAAGTGAAACAGTTGACGACACCCGTCAATTGTTTGGAACTCTGGCTAGCCAATCGGAGTGCAGTTGTCACAGTAATGATATGGTAAAATAGTTTTCGAACAAATTATATGACATTTAGTCTCTATTTCTGGTTGTATACTCAATGTGTTAGCATTTTTGTGTTCTGGTTTTGAAGGGTGCTGGTGAAATTACAGGCACATGGCACTTGTCAACTTATGTCTCAGGGTGTCGGGCGCAGTGGCAGTGCCCCTCAGATCTTTGCGATTTAAAGCTCCGAGTGGCAGTGCAACTGTAATGGACAGGAGTGTAGCTTACCATCAGTGACGGGACTTGTTCGTCCCGTAACTTGATATTATTTAAATAAAAACCTAAAACTTTATTTAGTAATGTTGTTAGGAATATAATTTAGTTGAATTCTCTAGAACATTTTACTATGTGAGTAAGGTATTGAATAATTGATAGAAATCGTTGCAAAATGAACCATAATAGGTAGATGACTTATTTTTTAAAATTATTATAAATGTGTATGTTGTAAGTAAATTATTATTTATCTACAGTTTTGTTTTTGATAGGAAGCACATCTTCGTCTTTTGAAGCCGCATGTTGTATTCTACTACTATAACTATTTTAAACTGAAATTTATATTTTGAAAATTTTAAAACTTTTCCGATTTAAATTGTGTCTATTTGTTTTTCTAGCAAACCAATATTTTGGGCCCTTTACTAATATTGACCGAATACCACACAAGCTCTGAGCTCTGCACTGGGGAAATCCTGTATTGTGGGTGCTGTTTACTCATGCATAGACAACTACAAATGACACCCCAACTCCCAAGATAAATAAATGTAGGATGTACGAATATTTCTACCGACACAGGAATCAAACCTAGGTCCTTAGCATAGCATAGCATGATAACTGCTCAGTCACAGAAGCGGTTAACGTGACTGAATTTAATACATAATTTATATTTCCAGATAGATCCAAATAAGGAGATAGTCCTGGACGTAAGCAGTACCAGCAGTGACAGCGAGGATGATTATGCCACGCCATTGCAGAGCTTGCGTGAGGCCGAGCTGCGCCAGAAGCTGCAGGAGAAACTGCAAAAGGCCAAGGAGAAGAAAGAAAAGAAGAAGAGTAAAAAGAGAAAGAGATCCAGGTGAGTTTTTTTGGATATTAACTGTATTGGGTTAAATGTTACAGGAGACCTCAAAATCCTCTATGCTTGACCTGTCAAAGTAAATTTAGCAATAAGTGCTAAAATTGCATTAATTTGATAAACCAGTTGAACCTGTGTACTGATTCTCTACGCACTGGTGTCATTTAAGTGTTATGAATTGTAATGGACAACATAAGGTCATCATTTTACACCTTTATACTAAAAGGTTTGTGCGGAGTAGGGTAATATAGCCCTATATACCGTGTGACTCCTGAGCGCTACAGTACCTCATTAGGAGGATGGAGTGCTTTTATCAGAGTTCTTAATATTAACAAAAGTTATTCAAATAATTCCTCTTACAAATGTAGTGTACGCATCCATTACCTTTCATACTGTTGTTATTTGTCAAGATTATAGTTACCTTTTTAAATTTTAGTTGGACATTGTGTCCACTTAAAAGAGTTTGTGGCAATTAGAATGTTTGTAAAGTATGATAGCATATCGTCGGTTAAAAGGTAAAACTCACTAATAGCCTAATTGGCCAAAGGGAGATAATTAAGATTTTGTATTTTTTCATTATGAAAAATCACTAAAGGACTGGTATGTATTAAAACATGAAGGACACCACAGACTTACTGAATTTTTCTTGTCATAGATGTTCTTCCCAATAAAGCAAAATTGAAAAAATCTAGTTTTTGAACAAAATGTCACTTAATGAGTTTTACCTTTTAACCGACGATATCAAGTAGTATTGTAAAGACAATGGCACACCAGACTACACATTTTTGTTCGAAAATCGCCTCCAGTGCAATGGAACACTGCCTGGACATTAAGAAAGTGTCGAGGAAACCGCATGCGAATAAGAATGGCTTGGTTAATATGGTTGTAAACCTGTCTAAGAAAATTGAAAACGAAATTAACATATCTGAAATCAAAGATATTTTCCGAGTATAGGGAAAGCGAGACGGTATTAAGAATACCCCAATAATTGTGGAGACTGGCTCAACTATAATTACGACTAACATATTGAAATCGTGTAAATCCTACAACATCAAAAATAAAGAAAAACTGCGAGGTTACAAACTACATCTGTTTTTCTATGCGTAACTCTGGCCAACCCGACCTCAAACATGAAATTAGAATTCATAAGAACGACCAAAATTTAACCTGGTATGACCATATAAATCTTATTTCTTCTTGATTAAGAAAACTCATTTGGATTTTTAAAAACCTTAGATATGTGGCAACAAAAGACTTAATGACTAAAGTGTATATCGCCTTAGCACAATCCGTTCTTGTATATTGTATCCCTATCTGGGGAGGAGCCTCTAAAACTAAATTCATAAAACTAGAAAGAGCTCACACATCCTTACTTAAAGTAATGCATTTTAAGAATTATAGGTTTCCCACAACGGAGCTGTATAGAATTAGTAATGTAAGTTACGGTTTGAAAATTATATATATTAAATTGTATCTGTAAAGTACACAAAACCATTGATTTTGACCTGCTAATTTTGAGGAAAAGAAGAAAAACCTTGTGTTACCGTATCAAACTGTATGTACCAGCTTTGCTAGTAAACAATTTAACTGACAGTCGTCTTATCTCTATAATAAAATAAATAAAGTACTAATTCTACACCCATTGAACTTGTATAACTTGAAATCTACGCTCTCAAAATGGTTACGATCATTGGATTATGAGGATACAGAACGTCTTTTAGAAGGGCTGGAATAATTCTACATCAAAAACAAACACGAAATCCCTCACACGTTACTAACACATTAGTTGTTGTATATTTAGGTATGTATATATGTGTATGTATTATGTATGTATGTATAATTATTAGCTTAATTTAATTTTTTTTTTATTTTGAACAAGATATGTCAATGTGTAGCTTGATGTGCTGGCGTGTGTACATAAAACCTAATAAATACTTAAATAAAGTAATGATTTTTTTTAATAATATGTTAGACAACCACACCCATTGCCTGGCCTCAAACTAATTGGTTCTGAAAAAAGTAGTTTCATTTCCAATGTGTAACAATTGAACAAAAACCTAGAAATTTATTGAAGCTAAATTTGCTCACAGGTCATCCAGCACATCGTCAACATCAAGTGATTCATCTTCATTATCATCAGACAGTGATTCAGAGAAGGAAAAAAGAAGAAAGCACAAGAAAAAGAAATCCAAGAAATCAAAAAAGTCACACAAAGAACATAAGAAGAGTAAAAAATGACCTTAAATAGATAATGATTAGACTAATCTTTTTCATTTCATGTAATGAACAATAATACATTATTATAAATGAACCTATTTAACAATCATATCATTACCTGGCTTACAATTGCAAGTTCTGATAATATATTTACGAACTCAATAGGCAGTCTGCCTTCCTTGTCACCTTTTTTCGACCATTGGTCATACATAACTAATTGAGTTATTAATATATCTGGAATCAACGGAATGGTGTCTATAAACCCCTATAACCAGTTTTTTTATATCTAGTTTCAGTTTTGTTGTTAATCAAAATCAGCATTTTTTGTTGAATTTGTTCAAAATTTTGTTGCTAATGTTTAAATTGCAAACGCGTTAGTTACAATTACGAAAGCAGTACTGCTCAGAATACTCCAATTTATGTTTAGCAATTGACTTTGTTTCCTTATATTGATTCCTCAGGCAGTCAAATTCCGGGTTAGTAAGTCAGCCTTATATTCCATTAATAAATATAAGGAATAATCCATACCTTGATTAATGATTTTATTATATGTTTAAAGGCTGAACCTAATAATTGTAAGGAATTTTGTCTATTTTTTGTAAGTGATTTTAATATGAGATTACAGTAAGAATATATTTTTTTTAAAAGGTAACATTGTATTATTTAATATACCTACATATCATGCATATATTATAATGAAGGTGGAAGTTTAAAATGTACGAGACATTTTATTTTCACATTAATGTCATATATTTATTCACATTAATGTCATTTTTCCCTTACAACAAAATGTCCCTTATGACATTGCACATTTCTACCATCTTATTATTTATTTATTGAGCATTGGCTATGGAGTCATTGGCTTAATTAGCTAACAAATAATAAAGGAACCGAAAACATAACTCAGACTAAAAATTTATTCCTGTTAAGGCCTGCCATTTTTTGTCATATACAGGTGTACATTTGATACGGGGCAGCAAAGCCAGCCACCTTAATCGTTGCAGTTACAGGAAAACGGTTCTAGACGACTATCCATTAATTTTGAAGATATTTTGATTGGCATTCACGGATTTCTAAAAAATGGTACGGTCAGCAAGATACAATGCAATTTTTACAAACTTTTTTTTTTATGCCATTCGATCCGGTCTCTGTTAAAGATCAATAGTCTCTATGGGACCAACTGAGGTAAGAGTACTCGAAATGTCAGAAATCGCAAAAAACTTTATACCATACATTTTGTAGGGACATATTTAGTAATCAGTTATTCTAGGTTAAGGTTAAGTTAAAACTAACAATAAGAAAACTAATAAATTGACAATGTATTGTGTATTTCAAAATAAAAACAATAACAAAAAGCAAAATAACATAAAAAATCTTTGATAGTAAGTGCTCGAATTGATTGCCGCCGTGGCATTCAATTCGAGCATAGATTAGCTCTCTTCCGCAAAGAGCAAGTAGCGGCTGAAATTTTACTCGGATGGATTCCATTGAAAATTGCTGCAAGTGCGTCTTTCAATTCTTGTACTTCATTTAACTAATACATAATACGTTGTCAATTCGTTAGTTTCCTTAACTACCTAGAATAACTGATTACTAAATATGTCCCTACAAAATGTATGGTATAAAGTTTTTTGCGATTTCTGACATTTCGAGTACTCTTACCTCTGTTGGTCCCATAGAGACTATTGATCTTTAACAGAGACCGGATCGAATGGCATAAAATAAATTTTGTAAAAATTGCCTTTTATCTTGCTGACTGTACCATTTTTTCAAAATCTGTGAATGCCAATCAAAATATCTTCAAAATTCATGGATAGTCTTCTAGAACCGTTTTCCTGTAATTATAACAATTAAGGATGCTCGCCTTGCTGCCCCGTCTCAAATTTACACTTTACTGTATATACTCAAAACTATTCCATTTCTTTATAAATCAGACTTACATAATGTTAGAATAAAACAAGAATCTGTTTTCTAACAAGGGATTTTTCACTATGTAAGTTACGAGTTGCTGCATTGAAAATAATGCTATTTAGTATATTTAAAATAAATATAACCCACGAATTAAAAGAAAAATGAGCTATTATGATTCGAGTTATGAAACAAAAAATATTTTTTAGTCAGCCATGACCATGGGACTTGTAGAGCCCACATTGTTGGTTGGTTTGAAAAAATAACAATTAGCTATTAGATCCAAAAAAGAAAATATTCCAATATGTGTTATATTTTTAGTGTTGCTGTAATGCTTGTTTAAGTATGATATTTATCGGCAACAACAAATAATTTTACGCAAAATGTGCCAAGAAACTTTTTTAGGAAGCTTTTTAGTTTTTGTGCAAGTATGAATTTAAAGAGATTGCTTCAAATAATTTTATAGGCTTTAATGTAAAAAAGATACTACAAAGTCATTAAAAAGCTTGTGACGATCGAAAGCAAACACGAGAAAGCAGGGAGTTTAGGTTTTTTGATGAATGACAAGGTTCTACGCCAAATAGAAAGTCCATATCATTAGCGGCTTTCCCTGAATTTTTTCACTAATGTACACGAACAAGGAACTCAATTACGCTATAAATATATTCGATAAGGTAGTAAGAATGTAAGTAAGAGCAAAGAAATCCGTAAACTTACCTCATATGTGAGAAATTTGAGGAATTCCGACCGTCAGGACTTCACGGGAGTATAGGCATTTTAGCAAAAATTTAGAACAAAACAAGCTTATGATTTATTGCACTATAATAAGATTACAGTATTAATTTGGTTCCCACACTCATTACTATGCACATCACACAAAAAAGCTTAGATATTTTGGTTAAGTTATTCCTAAGTTACAATCAAGTTCACGTCAAAAGTTCAAGCGATTTTAACGCCATCTTGTGACCGGTATGTGAAACTTGAAAGCTCCATCGATTTGGTCGCGTTCCGTTTTTATCAAAATTTTTGTTTGCGTCCATCATTATTTTACTTTGAAAGAAATTATTAATCTTTTAAGATTTTTTTTAAAGGACAAAAATAATTTACTAACAAAATTAACTTTTTTAGTAGACGCTGTAACTTTGTTAAATTTTAACGTACCTATATAACGCAAAATTTAAACGATATTTTACGGCCTATGCACATAGCCTTTTTTGTTTATACGGTTCCGGCAGAGGCTCAAAAA